GGCGAAACTTAACCACCACCGAGAACGGACGGCTAGGTTAAATTCAGTTCGATATCTTCATATCGTCAGGGAGTATAATGCAGCCGCGGACTCGCTAGCAAGCGAAGACCTGGAGAGCAAAACGTCGAAAGTGCTAGAGGCCGAAGAGATATTGACCGAACTCACCGAACTAAATCGAATTCAGGAAGTCATCTACGAACAGCAGGCCAGCAACTCAACTCACGAGGTATCACCGGTTGATACGATCCGGTCTCAAGTACGATACAAGGAGCGGGACACGCCCCGTCCCAAACTTTTTTTGATTTTGTGCGAAGCGAACCAGAATTCGTAACGATAACAACAAGAAGCCAAGCAAAGTCGAAGGAGAAAAGGGTCAGGTTTGCCGACCAAGCCTCGGAGGGAGACCAGCGCGGGAGAGCACAACGGGAGAAAACCAACAGTACCCCCACCGAAGTCCCGGGGGCGACAGAAACGGAGGAAATAACTCCAACGGGCGTTACTCTGGACACGCCGACACCAGCAACGGCAGATGACATAGACCCGTTAGAAGTCCAATGCGAACGCCGGAGGCGAATCGCTGTAGCACAGAACGAGGAATTGAGATGGCACAACCTCAAAGCAGTGCTGCAAGGTGATGAGGCGAAATTAGGCTACAAGGCAGCACGCGATGCATGCAAGATGTCCGAGAAGTTCGTATTAAGTGAAGATGGCATACTGTTCTACGAAGGAGCGAACCGCCGCAAAGGTGATCAGCAAACAAACAATACGACACTATGACTAGTCGTCCCAACGACGATGATTCAGGAAGTGTTACAGAATTGTCATGATTCCCTGGAAGGAGGTCACCAAGGCATCGTACGGACTTACGACAAAACTAGGAGGGATTACTACTGGATAGGACTGTATGCCGGCGTAGAGCGGCATGTCCGGTCCTGCCCCGATTGTAGTTCCAGCAAGCGCACACAACATCAAGGGTACTCGCCGGGCAATGTGTTAGCAGAGAGACCATTCCAAATTGTCTCCATGGATTTCGTCATACTGTTACCGAAGTCTCAACGCGGGAACACCGCCCTGTTGCTCTTCCAATGCGCTTTCACTGGTTTCGTCATGGGGAAAGCGATGGCGGACACGACAGCACTCCGAGTTGCACAAGTGTTTGAAGAGTGTGTCTACCGAAGGTTCGGTGCACCGTCGTTGATCAGGCATGATCGAGCCCACGTTTCATGAGCGAAGTGTTTCAAGCGTTCGCCGAGATGATGCAGTCGAGGTCAAGAGCTACCCTGAGTTACCGACCGCAAGCTAACGGGCAACAAGAGCGGTCAGTGAATACCGTCAAGCCGTCGGTCCGGGTATATGCCGAATATCCCTTGCAACAAGATTGGGATGAGATCGCATAGAAATTGATATTTGCGATTAACAACTCCACAGATGCTACGCGGAAGGAGAAACCTTTCTACCTAGTCCACGGATGGGATGCACATTCGACTTTGAGAGCAATGACATCGTCGCTTAAACAAGGAAACGGACGCCAGTCCGATGCCCTTAAATAGCGATGAGAAGTGAACCGACAGCATGAAATAGCTCTCAGAATGGCTAAGGAGTACCAGGCGATCGAAAAGGCTCGGCGAGCGCTCAAACACAATGCGTCACTAAACAGTAGAGAGAAAAGAAGCCTACCGAATAATGACGCAACGGAGGATTCAGAGGACAATTCCCCAGGAGAGGCACCGAAGTCCCTCTTCCAGCCAGGGGTACGGGTTTGGTTGTATATGGATCGAGCCAAGCCAGGATTGACAAAGAAACTTGCTCATCGATGGCATGGCCCTTTCCGCATCAAGAAAATGGTAGAAGAGTTCGCATATGAGCTCGAGCTCCCTGATCGTAGTGGTTATCGGTTTTACCTGGTGGTGCATGTGTCGAGACTCAAAGCAGTAAGTGAGTATGAAGGCAGACCAGGTGCCGAGTTAACCACCGAAGCCACGGAGAGCTCACATTTGGATTTCGACTAAGAACTCTTACCTGAAGATAGCTGGGAACCAGATCGGCTTGCAGGCGGACGCGAGGTCGAAGCTATCCTTGACGACCGAACACCGATGACCACAATGACGGAGCGGGCGGTCCGAGAATTCAAGGTGAATTGGAGAGGGTACATCGAACCAACTTGGGAACCCGCCAACAACTTGTCATGTGGAGGTCTTCTTTATGATTACCTCCGCAGAAAACGAGGTGATCAGCAATTACAAAAATGGTACAAGTGGCGGACGAAAACTAAACCAACACCGACCAAAGAGTGAACTGCCCACGGGATGATGTAGCCCGTGGTAGTAGACGAAAAAAGATACTACACAGATGACATAAGTCCCCGACCTGATTATCCGCCGTCTGTCGCGAACAAGATGAAACAACTACATCAGTATACGGGGCGACCTGTCGGCGAGGTTGGCACAGCTCGCTTGACAGCAATGAACACTACTGTACAATTACATGGCGCATGAACTGAATGAACACAACTTCAAGATAAATTAATGTGGGCGGAAAACAAAATGGACTCAAAGAACTGCTACCACACTATGGGAACAACCAGCCAATAGCGCACTCAGGAGGAAGTATCGAGCAAAAAGAATCGAATCATAGCGCCGACGAGCTCAGCGCGTCGGTCCCAATAGTGTCGAGACCTATGGCAGCAGCCGTGTCCATCAAGACATCAAACTGCGCGTGAGCGAGGTCGCTGGGAAGATCGGAGAGCGAAGGGAGACCGACGTCGGAAGAAGACTCAGCGCTGCGCTCAGCGTTGCGGACGTCATTCCCCCTCCGCTAGCCACGTTGGGCCGCACCATGTGCGCAACTCCGGACAACCATGGGACAACGAGGTCCTCGCTTCGGAGTGAGGGATGAGGGACAAAAGCCGACACAACTTCCTCGGCAGTCATCCCGCGCGGAACGAGCAGAGGCACATCAGCATTACACGGAGCGTAAGTAGTGTTGTAAGGGTGCTCGAAAGGAGCATCGACCCAGCAATTCCGCCAAGGCTGCTGCTGATCCAACTTCGCAACCTCTGCCACCCAGTCGTCGGTAGTGGGCACCCACTCGATAACTTCAAACGAATATTGGAGATAAATGGGCCCCAACAGACGTTCTGCAGGACAACGGCGAGGCTCATGGTCGGTTTCGACGCACCATTCTCACACCTTGCGAGGAATCTACCAGCGAAGACGGTCAGTGAGGGCGTTCCGAGTCTTGTTATACTCGTGCCAAGCCTTAAGGAGTGTCACATATCGTGGGTGATCCTTACCGATCTCTTTGGCCAGCCGGCGCAGGTAATTCTCCACCGCAGCCCCCTGTAACCAATGTCGACGCTCGTACAGCCCGAGGTCGAGATCCGCCTTATCGGTCTTGTCGGTGGACGTGCCTTGGAATTGACGCCACATGCGAACATCCAGACCTAGACCCACGTCACGCACTGAGATCTTTACGTCATCGCCATATTCGCCGAGGTCAAAAGTGCAGGGCTCGTCAGGGAATTTCTGGTGGAGCTGTTGGAAGGGGTGGATAGGATTGAGGCTGTCCGTGAAAGCCTTGATGCCGGCAACCAAGCAGGGAGCTTCCAGAGTCTTCGGAAGTGGCGGGGGCAAACTCTGGTTACAGATCTGGCACCAAGCCGCCTGCGCGCCAGGGCGAGTGAACCCAGGCTCGAGATAAGGGCCAGCCAGCGAAACCAGTTTCTTGGAGTTCCGAGCCAACACCAAGAGGTCGGCTGCCGGAGTGAACAAAGCCGAGTCGGAACCAGGGGTAGTTGACAACGTAGCCGTAACCACGGTTTGCTTCGGCTGGGACTGACGACGAGAGGAACGACCAACGACGCCAGACAAAGGAACACCAGTGACCGAAGTGCTGAAAAGAGGCGGGGAGACGCTGCCCGCACCCCTCGGCCGTGGCTTGGTGCTCGGTGGCGGTGAATTGTTGTTCGCCGCCGAGGGGCGATCAGTCGCGAGACCGAGGACGAGCTCGTCTGTCGCTAGCTCCTGCTCCAGCGTGTGCTTGACCCGGAGGTCGGAAGTTACCGAAGCGTGTGGGTAGGACGACGACCATCACGACGCGGGACACTCACAATCGGAGAAGAGACTGGACTGGATAGCTCCAAGAACCTCTCTGTGATTGGTTCGTCAGATGACAAGTCGACCACTTCGGTCGAGCTTGTAGGAGTCGGCGGGCCACCGAATTCGAAAGCTGCAGCAGACAGACCGGTATGAGCCACTCCACTGTCACCGCGGACAAGGCCGGATAGTGGCGCGAATGGCGGATCGGGCGCAGGAGTCGCAGTCAATAACAACACCTCCAACCCAGAACTCGAAATCGGAGCAGGTGCGGTGACTGGTGGACCCGAATCGGAGCTCATTGGCAGAAGTCAGGTCAGCCCTCGCCTTCTCAGCCCGAGCTTTGGCGGCCGCAGCCAGAGCAAGCGCCGCCTCGGCGGCCGCTGCAAGAACTCTCGCAGCCATGGTTTTAGCAGCCTCAGACGCTGCCTTCCAGCAGCCGTAGCTTCGGCCAAAACCTTCTCAGCAGCTCCAGCGCGAGCAGCTTCGACACGAGCAGCCTCAGCTCGAGCAGCTTCCTCGGCAGCAGCTTTCTCAGCTGCAGCCTTCTTTGCAGCAGCAGCCTTCTTGGCAGCCCGACGAGCGGTCTCGGCCCGAATCTTCTCAGCGGCGGCCTTCTCGAAAGCTGCTTTCTCTGCTGCAGCAGCCTTCCTGGCAGCTTTCCGGACAGCCTCCTTCTCCGCGGCCTTCTTCTTGGCAGCCGTTGTGTCGGAAGCAGCCTTCTTGGAAGAAGTCGCTTGGGCGGCAGAAGCCTTCTCAGCCACAGCCTTGTCGGCCGCAGCCTTGGCGGCACGAGCCCGGAGATCGACGGATGGCCGACCAACGCGAGAGGGACAAGGTGATTTCGCCGAAGTGGGGGAGCGAAGGCGCTGACGCTTGGACTCACTCGATGCAGCCGATGTGGCCGGTGGTGTGACGACCGAGACCCCGCTAGGCTCGGACTCAGCGTCGGACGAGTCGCCAGAGGAGTCTTCTCGGTCAAAATTACCGACCTCGTTTACGACTGGTATGAGTAGGACCGAGACCGATGAGTTTCCAGTCGATATCACCAGCGGAAATACCAGCAAAGGCCAACACTAGTGAGTTTGTATCCAGTCCATGGCTCGCCAAGTGCTGCCGAAGAAACGAGTTGGCCCTCTTGAGGCTGGCGACCTCCTTCTCAAGGGCGAGGAGGCGGATCGGGTATTTCTCCCCAGGAGTCGACACCGCCTCTTCAGCCGACGATTCAGCTCCTTCGCTTGGGCGGTGTAGCCGACGAGGCCAGCCTTGAACCGCTCACGCTCGACTCGGAGCAAATGCAACGAGGTAGCGGATTCGCTTTCGGCGGCTGACAGTCGTTTCTGAGAGGAGTTGAAGGCTGCAGGGGCAGTAAGCAGTGAGAATAAGGCGTGAGCAACGGCAAGACAAAGACAAGTGCAGGGATGTCTACGGTGCTCACCATAGAATCAGCAGCGAGCTCACGAGTGAGCGCTGCAGTAGCATGGTTGAAGGCGCGAGACACCGGGGACATTAGGGTGGAGATGTGTGGCAGCGCGACGGTCACCAGTTGCACAGGTTTCCGACGTGCTGGGGGCAGTTGTGGTGTCGGGTTTTGACAGCATTCCGAGACCATGGTCACCGAGCT